TAACTGTTTGGCACTGGCTCTCCCATCAGGGGCTGCGTGTTGTACCGGGGATTTTCCACTGGTTCTGCCTGTTCCAGCTTCTCAGCTGGGTGCATTTTCCCACAAAGATGTGGCCTCAGAAGTGCCATCTTCATTGTAAAGTCACTCAGGTAAAGAGAACGGCTAGAGCATGGTTCTCATGCTCCCTGCTTCCTACCAGGTACTTTGCTTTATCTTGCATGATAACTGAGACCGAGCCTTTGAAAAACTACGTGTCAGGGCTGAATTATTTATAGTCATGTCAAACATTCCTGAGTGTAAGGGTAAAGCCCAGGATGAAGTATCCTGGTATGCCACTGATGAGGAAGACGCGTTTTCCCAGCCGGGGCTGACAAAGATGTAGTGTAGACAAAGATGGTATTTGCCAATCAGAGAGGGGATCTTTATTGGTTTACAAAACAAAATCAAACAATATGTCATGTTTTATGATTGCCTTAATAATCACATATATAATAATGTATTTTGTCAGCAGCAGACGGCAGCAGGAGACAAAAGCCATAGAATTACATTTGTGAATTTGACTGGAAGCGGTTGCTGTCTGTTTTCAGGCCGTGTTTGTTCTCTTCACCAAAACAAAGTATTACTTAAATAGAAGGCTAGAAACACTAAATTGCAGCTAAAACATGACCCATTAGGAAAGCTTGGGAAACCACAATAAAAATCTCAAGAAATTTCAAACAATTTCTCCCAAATATAACTGGAGAGAGGGGAGGTCTTGATGAGTCAGTTGTGAGTCTGGGTCTTGCTGTGTAGCTGTTTATTTTCCTCATAGGCTATTTGCCCTTTTTAAAATAATAACATCGGCCTTATACATGTGCATATAAAGTGTACAATAATACATTGTTATCCTGCTTGTCCCTTAATTCATTTTCTATTTAAGAACCTCCCAGCACTAGGAGTGCTCATCCTTGTATTCAAAACCTGCTGGCTTTAGTAGTTGTGCTCACCTTTTCTCAGTATAATTAAGACCTCACATCTCTGTATTTTTAATCTCATTTTAATCTATATATATTCTGGTGGGTATTGACCAGTCCGCTCCCACTGCCCTCCACTAGAGGAATCTATGGTAGAGCAGGCTGTGAATTAGAAGAGGTCTGAACAAGGGCATTTGGGAATTTTTACTCCCTGCTTTGCTGTTGAATTCTCAGTGCATCGCCCATGTGAATGGGCTGTGAAGTTGTCAAGAGTGGTAAAAATCTCAGCCAGACCAGAGAGGGTTCAAATGGAGTTTCCAAGGGCAAGGAAATTGTTTGGGTCATATCATAGCACTATATGCTTGGTCTTCAAAAGACATTAGGTCTGCTGAAAAACTAGATCGATCCTTGGATTTGCGCTGCATTTCAGCAAAAACAGTCTTGAATCCTGGACTATAGAAACACTTTAACTTCCACCTTTCAACCAAGGAAGAAGGGAGAGCAAACATTTGAGCACGTCTGTCTATAATAATGTAATGCTTTACGTGTCTGTTTAATAGACAACTACAGCAATGAGGGAGAGCTCTTTGATGTGTGTCTTCATCTGGACTAACAACCCTGTATCTCCCTGCAAATAAATCTGTGCATCCCTGATAAGCCACTGCTGGGTAATCCAAGCACTTTGCATTGGCTTGTGTTTTGAGGGCTGCTCAGGTTCTCCGTTGTCTTGCAGTGTATGTGGGTTTGATTGTGATTTCATGATGTTTTTAGTACATGGGTGGAAATGTATTTTCTGGTAAAGCTCAGACAGAGGTAGAATCTTTCCAGCCATAAAGGAACCATTGGCATCCTCGGGGTATTGACATCTGAGGACAGACCAATGAATGGAAAAGTAAAATAAAGTGGGGGAGAATTTGAGTTACTACTGTTGGCTCTCAAGCAGAGCCGTCTAACTTCTTATACTGAAGTGAATGCTTTTTCCTAGGTTTGTTTTTCCCTTAGTGACTTACTTGGTGAAGTGTAATGGTGGTACTGATAATGTGCATGTGGGTTAGTCCATGTTGAAAATTTTTGCTGTACGGCCTGGCTGCACTAGTTGGGAGAATATACATCCAGCTCATATCAGTGCTGGCCCTAACATTGCATTTATGCTTGCAAAAATAAAAATGTACAGCTTAGTCTATTTAGGTAGCTGAGAAAATAGCTCCTTCAGTGGTATGAATGGCATCTCTATTACTGAAATATTTTTGTCATGGCTCTAGCAATATATATATATGCTGAAAAACCCCTTCTAGAGTAGACACACCCTCGAGGAATGAAGTTTCCAGCTCCATGGGAAGATCACTTAGGTGCTGAACTCACAGACGCATTTGAAATCACTGCTATGTAAAGCCTGTTTTATTTTTTTTATCTGATAGTTTACACTATTTCTCTTCACTGTGAGGTCTCTCTCACCAACGTGGCATTATCTCCCCTCAGTCCCAGATCCAGGATAACCCACCTCTTGGTCACCCTGCCTTCAGCATGGGCTCTCAGCCACCCCCCAGGCAGCAAAGCGAGGAGAGGAAGCCTGGGCTGGGCTGTGCTGCGCTGGGGAGAAAGTGCCACTGATGCCTGGAAGGGCAGGACTAGGTTTGTCAACAGAGGCAGCAAAGCCTCTGTTTTTCAATGGAAAATCGAGGGACATTCCCTTTCAGTGAATAGACCTGCCCCTGTGATGCAAAGGAGGTGGAAGATTTGCAGTGTTATACCAGCGGGTGTCAATTTCACGTGTTTTAAGGTACACAAATCCTAAGCCTGTTTTTCTCTTTCTTTTCTGCCTCTGGAGCTAATGCGTTTAACTCTCAAAGAGGAGACAGCTGGTTGTTAGCTTCAGCTTGTCTTGATGTTCATTTTCTTTTAAAGCGAGCTTGCATATTATTCTAGCTTAATTAGATCTTTCTGCAGATAAAATCCTTGGAAGGGGTCCACCCCCTTCCCCCACTCTGCTAGGTTTCTTGCTTGATTCTTTTCACATGTCCCTTCCCCAGTGAATATATCTGAATGTTACATGGCGTTAATTAAGGATCTCAATTGCATATTCGTCTTCGCAAAGCTTGCCAGGGTGTGCAGGCAATCGTGATTGACTGACAGCACGCGAAGAACAATGGAGAAGCCTTAACAAGACTTGGCAAAGGAAGGCAGTGAAGAGCAATCAAAGGGGAAGAGCTTCACCCAAGGTCTTCAGGAAAATCTCTGACTGGTGACTTTTATTTCCTTAATCAACAATAGGAAACAGCTCAGCTTGCTGCAGCTGGTGATAAAGTAGCTCCCCCAAGGCCCACCACAAGATGAAATAACCGTGTGGCTCGAGGTAGAACAAGCTGTTCAGTAACACGCTGTATGGTTGTTCCGGGAAGTCTTGAGAAGCTGCTTCTTCCCAGCAAGGGAGGGGAGCTGGGAGATGTGGTGCTGGGCTCTGCAACTGTGCCGGGCCAAGGCGTTTTGTGATCCTGATACAAAGAGGCTTCGGCATGGAGGGAGGTGGAGAGTCCCCTCCTAGGGTAAAGCCTGAGGTGTCTGGAAGAGACATCATCTGCATTTCCCTCACCTCGCACAGGAGGTCTTCCACAGGCAGGGTGAGTGAGCTTCAGTTGCGGCCGCCTGCCCTGTGCGTCAGGGAGAAGCTCATCCAGGTTCTCCCCATGGACACTATCCACAGGGCTCACAGTCCCATGAACCACAGTGGTCTCTGGTATCACCCCACCTGAGCACCTCACAGCTTGCCTTGCATTCACCTCATGTTTCTGGGACTTAAAAACTGCAGTTAGCCCTGCCTGCTTCACAGAAGAGAAATGGAGGCACACAGATGTCGCCTTTTTGGTTTCCTAAGTGATGGTGAGAAAATCTTGAGGCAGAAACAGGACTTAGACCTGGGGTTCCCGTTGGTATTCTTCAGGGAGTTACCTGTGGGGTTTCCTGCCCCCATAGGCAGGACTGTGGCTGGTAGCACCTAGTAAGAGGGCACAGTGGTTCAGGCAAAACACTAAGGAGTCACGGTGGGATCTGTCAAGGTTGATAGCAGTAGCACAATGCAGCAGCACTAAAACCTTTCCCTCCATCTATCAAGCCCCAAATGGCATTTACGCAGGCAGATCTCTGCCAAGGAGTCACGTTACAGTGCAATTCTTTGTTAACCATGTTACTGCATGTTTTTGCCTCGCCTGTATACGCAAGTCCAGTCCATGTTACAGCTTGGGACAAATTCCTTGGTAAAACAGAGCTTGGCCTTCCGGGTAATAACCAACATTGCAGCAGGATTCCCAGGCATGTTCAGTGTGCTGGGTGGAGAGGGCTGCTCCACAAAGAAGAAGATTGCCAAAGCAAGGTGTGTGTTGTTAACTTTGTTGTTGCAGGCACGTTCCCAGAACTCGGTGGCTCCCACCTAGGAGGTGTTCCTGCCCCCTAGACCCCACGTGGAAGAGGGATGGCAGCAAGGCAACCTGCCCCTTCCTGCTCTGTCTGGTAGGTAGGCCAGCAATCTCCAGCGGTAGGCACAGCCCCTGCGGCTAAGCCAGCCCAGCAGCATGCAAAGCTGTCCCTAAAGTCATTTGAAAGCAGAAGCACAGGTATCTGCTTGAGGTCCCTTCCTATTCTAAGGAGTCCCCACCCTCCAATGGCTGTACTAATGACACAGCACTCGCTGAGGGCCTGTGCCTCTGATTTGCATTAAAAAGCTCTGTTCCCGAGTCCATATCTGACAGTTTGATAAAAGACTTGATTTTTCAGGAACTCTTGAGTTTCTATTAAAAGCAGTGAGAGAGCAAATCTCTGCTCATTTGAAATTCAAGGCATCTACTTAGGAGTCTAAATATGGAGTTGGACTTTTATTTTATGATATATTGGCCTTTGTCTTGGGCTGTCGTAAAGCAAACATGATAAGCTAGCAACTGGCATAAAGTTTCCAGTTATTTTCTAAATGTTACAGCAGCAGGGAACGAAGTAGAATTATCAGAGGGTCAAAGGCATAGAGCAGAAATGTCATTAAGAAATGGCAAGAGTTACTGATAAGTTTTAGTATCTTTGTTTTATTACTTCCCTGTCTCAGTCAGATCTGCAAACACATTGAATCACATTTAATTGAACAACAGCTTCACTGTGAAACCTGCCATTCTTAGCTCCACTATAGAAAATATCTTTAAAAACACCACCCCCGCTTTCTAACATCGTACAGACAAAGAATTACAGGTCGTCTGCCATAGGATATACACTACATGCGGCATCACCTGCCTTAAGTCTGTCTTTCATCCACGGCGCCACAAAGAGCGGTCTGGGGGCCGCTGCGTGCCCCCGTGCAGAAGGGCTGCCTTGCTGACAGCCTGCTGCGGGTCTGCTCCTTCCTCCCACTCTCTGTGCACCTCGTACACGTGCCTCTGTCACAGCCGGTGTCCTCTGGGCCGGTGTCCCACAGCCGCAGAGCAGGGCGAGGCAGGCGATGCTGCGTGGAGGTGTGCCGGGGTGACCTTCAGGTTCCTGAAGCCCTGCCCACGCTCTGCATGGTGCGCAGGGAAATGCTTCCCTGAAAACACTGCAAAATGGAGTGTGTTCTGCTTCCTTCTCCTGCACGCTATTGTGTGTTGCAATGTTTGCTACCTGTGATCAGCCATACATCTTTGATTGGTCTTATATAAGTAAGCAGGATTAGCTGTCTCAGGGCATTTGGCCTACATTTCACAGTTTTGCTGGTGAAGCTGAGCTGGATAGGAGTGTGAAAAAATAAAAAATAAAGAAAAAAAAAACAACAACAACAAAGCTTGTGAAAGCCCTGATGTTGACACAGTTATGTCAGCAAAAAAAAGCATTTTTGTCTGGATAGCTAGTTTCCTTTTGGGGGATGCGTTCTGTCACTGCTCTCAGCTGTGGCCTGTACTGCTGTACTGGCAAGCCCCGCCTCAAGCTGCTCGGAGACCCATAGATCCCTCTGGGTTGGAAAAGACCTTCAAGGATCATGCAGTGCAACGATGGCAAGGTATACAGTCCAGCTAGGCGGTGACTCAGCCTGCATGGTTCTGGCAGCTGCTCAACCTAGGTAGTAGTCCGATGACCTTGGTGGAACTCCTAGGAATGGCATGCACCTATTACAAAGTCTAGGCTTGAGGAGGGTGTGCAAGAGGCTTCTGACCTGCCTCTGATTTAGTATTTTTAATCAGCAAGATACCACAGCCGCGTGCTCGGAGCTTGCTCACATCAGCTTCTTTCAATTCCAACATGCAGGGCACTGTGCAGTGGAAGCTGCAATGGTTTGGAGGAGACTGGATACTCCTTTAGGTCAGATGACAGATTCAGGTATGTGGGATGCCCCACTCAATATAATATGCTCCTCTCTTTACCTTAGAAGGTGTAAGACTTCACAGCTCTAATGTTGGCATAAAGTTAACTCACTGGAGTGATATGTGGTGATATGTGGTGACTGAACAGAGGCTGAAAGTGACAGCTATGTATGGATAAACCCTCTGTTTTTAAGTTGGTTATTTACATTAGATCAACCTATGTGAATCACCGTGTCTGACCTGAACAGCCCATTCTACTACCTGGATAAGGATTTATCTGTCTCTTGTCTTTTTTTTTTTTTTTTTTTTTTTTTTTTTCTGCTTTTAAACTTCTCATACAGTCAAGACTAGCAGAAGCAGGCTGGAAACTTCTCTACAACGGTGGCAAATTCCCTCATACTCTCAGTTCTAACCTTTAATCATCTTACTTTCAGCCAAAATTGCTGAAAGACCCTTCCTCTCATTCTGTGCACTAGAGAGTATTAAAAGGTAATGAGAAAAGCTAAAACTCATTTGCTCAGAAAGAATAATTCCAACTCCCTTCTGTGGCAAATGAGAAAATTAGGCAAATGTAATGCATTTGTCAAGGACTCCGCTGAATATCCTATGTTTTATTCAGCTTCACGTAAGGGTACTATAATAAAGGTCTGGGCATAAGTCCCTGACAGGTTAATGACGACTCCAACATTGTTTCAACAGGGCTTTGGTGGAGCTCTGTAGTTTTCCACAAAGAGGACTGGAAGCTTGAGGAAAGGTCTGGGCCCTAGGGTTCCTGGTAATAGAGAGGGTGGGATGGGTGGGTATCTAGGACTTGCTACAGAGGATCTTGTCCACAGTTCTCTGCCTAACCACTGCACTCAGCTCTGCTGTGGACCCCATGAGCTCTGGCCAGATAGGTGTGTGAATCAGGGTGCCAAACATATAGTTATTAGCATTTGACTTATGGGCATTGCCCCTAGTTCCATAGAAAACACCAAGGTCAAGTCACTTTTTACCATCTCTCAGCTTCTGCCTTAGGAAAATGTAAGCAATAGTGCTTCTTGCTTCTTGATCGTGTTCACACCCAGCACTGGTAAACTTCATACATAAATTCTGAGTATTACTGATAGTCCCAAGATGCTGTCCCAAGATGCTGATGTTGTGTGGTTAAGTCTAGTCTGGTAAGATTAAAATATTTATAGGAGTGAATTATCTACTCTACAGAGGCAATCCTGTATATTTCTGTCTTCCTCATTTTTATGCTTTATTCCTCTGTGCATTTGAGTCTCTCTGCACTGCCCAACCTCACACCACCATTGGGGTAGGGAGGAGACTAAATTCATGGGTTTCAGAGCTGTTTTGAATCTGCCTGCCAGGCTCTCCTTTTGGCTTCTATAGAGTGCCTGAGCTTTGTGGTGCCTATAAAGCTCCAAGGCTTTGGTGTTCCTGTTCCAGCAGCATTGCTGACATGGGAGGTGGCCAAATGGAGCCACTGTACATCCTTAAGAACCTAGATATAGCAGTGATGTCATCAGAGAGGTGTTTACAGTTTGCAGAAATTTGCATTCATGCTGATTTAATAATTTTGGATCCCTGGAAAGCAATGGGTTTCTGTTCTCTCTCTCTCTCTTTTTTTTTTTTAAGCTGCTACACATCAAAGCCGCAATCCCAAGAATGCAGTGACTATGGATTTGCAGAGAAAGGCATATCTGGCAGAGAGGAAAATATAAAAAAAAGTAGTTTACTAAAAGGAAAATTGGTTTCAATGGAAAACATGCATCCAGCAAAATGCCTGGAACAATCTGACTGCAGCAAATACCTGACTTTGTGCTTCAGTCAAAGATAAGCTATCAGGCTGACTGAAGAAGTAATGGAATGAAATTATACTGTCTGCGTTATGCTGAAAGGGCAGAATAAATGATCCACAGACTTTGCAGTCTTAAAGAACAGTGGCATTTCCATGAATTTTTTGTACGGTGTTGCTTGCAGCCAGACGAGCCACCTGCTAGCTTGCTCGTCCTACCTTGCCTCTGCTGTTCAGGTCTGCAGCAAGGTATGACTGTGGTAGGGGTAGATAAAGAGTACAGCAGGGCTAGATCCACTGAAAACATTTCCAGCAGTGACAGAGGGGTGGTGGAGAGAAAAGCTGCTTCCCTGAGTCCTTGTGTATGTCTGGGCTCCCCAGCGTCTGCTCCCGGAGCTTCTTTTGGATGATCCTAAACAAGTCCCTTCTTCTCTCTCTGGAATGGCTTCGTTACAGAAGAAATCTCAGGAAAAAGTCATCTCAGTGAACTAAAAGCATGAACTAAAAGCATGAATTTCACATAGGTGAATCAACTGCATTATAGTGGACACCTTTAGTAAGTATTAGGGTGGACTAAATTAAATGTTCTTCAGTTTGCTTTGGAGGTGAAGTATACTGCAGAGAATAAACACACCTTTAAATCTAAGTATAAATGCCCACTTGGGGCTTTAATGTGATTTAATTAAGTTTTTAAATGTTTTGTTAGCTTGCAAAAGTTCATTGAAATTAGGTTTCCGGAGCATCTCCATACAGTCAAACCCATACATGAGGCAAGACATGCATCGTTCTCTCTCTGGGGCCCAGCAGATGCTGGCTTTGGGCAGCTGCCCATGGCTCTGTGCGAGGCTCCCAGCTGCACCCCTCTCTGGTGCCTGTCACCTACCAAGGATGCTGCTGTCACCTGCCTGGAGCCATACCTGAGGCGACAAAATGCCAGTTCTGCTCTTTCTTCTGCCACCAGCTTTCTGCATGCTGCCATGTACCATGTTCACTTGTTAGAAAACAGGGGCTATAGCACTGTGCATCTACTCTTCAGTGTGATTTGAAGCCGAGAGGGGAGAGAAGGATTGACAGGCCTGTTGTGAGCACCTGATGTGGGTGACTTCTCCTGTGGTATTTTGTTATGGGAACTCAACTGCAGCAGTTTGCTGGAAACATGATCCCTGAGATAAACATGGAAGAACTGAAACAGCAATATCTGTCCAGTGCTTCAGCCTTTCAATTCAGAGGCAAGTCAGAACCTCCCCGTCCTGGAACAAGGAAATCAGTGTAAAGGTGGCTGCTCTCATCTGTGTGCATCCAGTGGGCCTAGGTGGAGGCAAAAGTTACACTGAAGAGCTAAACTGCTTTCAGAGTCACAACCTCCTGATGTGCGCTTCCTAAGAGACTGATGACATTTAAAGTGCTTTGAGTAGACTGTTTACTTTCCATTTAAAACAGGAAATTCATTGCACTGTTTGTCACGCTGATCACCATCCCAATGACCAAACGTTTGCTATCTCACGTAAGTTCTCCTGGAGAACAGATACACGTCTTCACCGTTAAATAGAGCCTCATCAGTTATGCCGGGACAGCTTCTCTCACAAAGGTATCCGATTTAACAGAGCATCCATCTTGCTAAACTCACCAGCCGTTTTCCAGATGGTGTTTTGAATACAGTATAGATCGGGGGCCTTGCTAACCAACCCGTTATTCAATTAATTAGCACTTATAAATTAAGTATGTGCCTAGCAGAGCGCATCATTCCGTGTGGCTAGCCTCTTCTCGTGGTGCAGCAAGAAAGGACTGTGGGTCATTGGGTCACCATGGGTGACGAGCAGGCCACCTCAGTTGGTCATCTCAGCTGAAAAACAAAAAGCAGAGTAGTTCGTATGTGCTTTGTGACTGCGTTCAGAGGAGAAAACTCCAAGTGGGAGATTCAGAGCTCTTTGTATACTGTTATGCTCTTAGCTAGTGTGCTCTTTGGTGGTGTTGCCATATAGGTGACAGCTCAAACACCACAATGATAGTAAGGTGAAGATGTAGCTAGGTACCTCACACATCACACACTCTAACACATGGGCACTGAAGTCTGTGTTGCACTTCGTGCTGCTCACCCCATGGGAAGGCTGATCTCTGGGCCCCCTGAAGCTGATGGTGCTTTACATAGTGACACCAGAGACACCTTTAAACCCTCTGACCGAAACCACGATGGCTAGTAACAGCGCAAAGCCCAGTGCAGGTTATAGCTCCTCGAGGGTGTAGCTATGAAACCTGTCCTCACCTCTACGTAATTACTGGCCTCTAAGGCTTACTTGCAGAGGCTGCAGTCCCACTGCTGAGCTGGGCGAGGTGCCACGTGCTGGATACAAACTGCTTCTCCTAAAGGAGAGACAGATTAGGTTTGGGACTACACCCTTAGCTGTCAGTGTACTCCCTGGCTGGGGAAATCCCAAGGCAGCAGGCTGCTGGCACCTGGGAGGTCACATCGGTCACGCTGTACTTCCCCTGTTCTTAGGCTTTCTTCTGAATTATTTGCTACTGGCCACAGCTGAGAAGGCAGATTGGGTTAAATGGCCCCTTGGTGTGCTCCAGGTGTGGCCAGTCTGATGTTCTTGAAACTGAGAAAACTAGCTTGTAATAAAACTGTTTAGCCAGGGCTGTTATCATATTGAGTGTGAAGTGAGTATTGAGTATTGTATGTGAAGTGCTTTGAACATCAACTGGTAATAGCTAATCTTTGATTATCAGTAGAAACTCCTTTTTCAAAGAGAAATACGGGTGGGGAGAAAAGGGAATTTCTATTCAGTCCCCAATCCTGCTAGCCTGGGGAATACTGTAACACGGAGCAGAGCAGATTTTCATGTTGGTATTCTGGGAGGGTTTCCAGTGAGAAAATAGTGCAACTCAAAACTTTGTGTCTTGAGGTCCTTGTCTTGTCACAATTATATGCCGCAAGGGTTTGTGTTATTCAATCGGTAAGTAGTGTTTAAATAACAGAAAAAGGTTTTCCTCGTGTGAATAAGAGCAGCGGTATCACATGTGCTGTTCTCCTCTACCTGTCGCATTGTTAGACCAGACGTGATGGAGTGGTTTGCTCATGGTGTTCACTTCCCTGTCGTAACCTGTGGTTTCGTATTCAGCAAGAACTGATCGTTCCTGAGGAACACCTGAGGCATCTGTAGACACCAGTGTCACAAGGGCCCAACTCCCGTTGTGCCTTTGCAGCTTTGTCATAGGTCTGGCACAAATATCCATGTCAAAGGTAGCCTGCCTATTTGAGCAGAAAGGCTGAACCATGGAAATTAAAAGTAGATTTTCCAAGGTACACGAGCATCTAAATATATAAACTGCGGCCCGTCTGGCTTTTTGAATACACTGCACAGGTCAGGCCCTTAATTCCCACCGATTATAATGAGAAAAACTTCAGCGGGTTTTAAAATCCTGTTAGGTGTGTGTCTGCCTCCATTGGCCTGCATGCTAATGTGGGGCATTTCCCAACCAGCAATGAGGCTGTGTGAGGTGCTGTGGTCCATGCAGGACCAGTTAAAAGAGAAAACATGATTTCAGACTCCAGTGTGATTACCACAACACTGAATTTATGCCAGGGGAATGAAGCCATATCTGTGTGAGAGATTCTCCAGTCAAAATGTCTTCTTGTATTTCTTTATTGTGTTTCAGGTCAGGGTGCAGCCATTCGGCAGTGCTGGTCATCTCAGGACACTGCAGTCCTACCAGACAACCCAAACCAAAGCAAAGACCAACAAGGAACCAACAGAGGACAACATGCTCCCCAGTTTGTAGGGTGATCTACCTTCATACGGTAAGGACTTGTAGTGTGGACAGCACTGGAGTAACCTTTAAAATCATCATAGACATTTGTGAGTTGTTTTAGGGAAAAGACCTCCAGTGAGAAGAAAGAGAAGGGTGTTTGGCAGGCACTGCAAATCCCACTGTGGCCCTGACAGAACAATTAAAACAAGATGTTTAGGAACAAGTCAAACCCTAACTTACCCATTCCCATTGCCAACTCCTGTGTGGAGCTGTTCAGATAAGTCTTGCTCCTGATGGCTAAAGATAGAAATGTCTTCCACTCTGATCTTGTTTGTCTTCTTAAAGAGTATTAGAGCAGGCCTCAAAATAGTTTTGGAGTTTGTTTAGTTCTCGTTCTTTGACTTGGTTTAGTGCTGGAAGTCCCAGACACGCTGGCCCTGGAGACAGCAGAGGTCTAACTGGGGCAGCCGAGCAGGCTGGTGCCCAAATTCAACCTACCACTGGAAACCCCTTACAAACCACGGTCGGGAGCAAGCAGAGACTGAAACCTTACAGTCTTGCTACCAAGACAGAAAACTAATGATGACCTGTTTTAATGGTGCATATTGCCTCTACCTCCGATAGGAGCCATTTTGTGTCAACCAGCAGGGGTGAAGCTGAATCAGTCCCGTGCAGATGCAGGCTCCTTATCTCCCCCAGCCGTGCAGATGCTGGCTGCATCAGGAGCTCGTGTCGTTGCCAGGGCTTGGTGGCCGGGTACCAGAAAGCTGGCTGCTGCTCCAGTAAGGGCTCCGGGTGCCCACTGGCACAGAACTGTGCTCTTCTTGCCAACTTCATAGCTAGTTCCTGGGTAATGCTTCTTCCCTGTGTGAAAACAGGGTGGATTTCCTGCAGGAAATTATTTTCATATTATCTTCAGTGAGATTAGGGTAATTTTCCCCTCACCAGCCAAAAAGAGAAAGTCTGACAATATGGTTTGACTACTGCTGCCTTAACAAGTCGCCGTTGCTTCCATCAGAACTATGCTGATAGCTGGCAAGTTGCACCGCCAGGTGGGTGTGCTCAGCCAGGGCAACTCTATACTGTCCACCGGTGGTATTTGCCCCGGTTATCAAACACCAGGCACACAGCGCACTGTCTGTCACGCATCCCCCTTTTCTGTCTCCACCTTCCTGCCAGCCAGTCCACCCTAGAAACCATCTAGTGCCCTGCTCCGCCACTAGTTCAACATGAAGTGAAAGCTTTCTCACTGACTGAGCATGCTGGCCTTCTCCTGCCAAGATTGGGGAAAAACTTAAAAAAAAATTAAAAAAAAACAAAAACTTTTTTTTTTTGGTTAAACCAAGTTGGGGCTGAAGTGGTTTATTGATTGAAGAAATGTGTGATTAACCAACAACCAGTGAACTATACATTCAGGACCAATGTCATCAACACCACAGTGTTAGACACTAATACATTCCTTCCTACAAGCTCCTCAACATGCTTCTATAACTAATCTCCAAAAGTTTTCATCCCAGACACACAGACACCCACCCCTCTCTTTGCAGCAAAAGGGGTCACTTCTGGGAATGTGGGTTCCCCTGCTTACAACCTGTTCCTGCTGGGGTTGTGGCCAGTCCTGCTTTAGGGGTGCCCATGCTGCTCCCTACAACCACCTCAGTGGACCCACTGGTGGGAAAGGCAGCCCAGCAGGACACCAGCAGTCCCACAGACAGGAGGCTGCTGCACTGGGTCTGGGCAGAGGTGTGATGCCAGCAGGGTGACCTGCTGTCAGTGCTAGATTGGGTTTTCACTGCTGCTCACTGGGTCTCTCCCCACTCCCTTACAAATTTTGGTGCTTCTTGTGTACATCTTTTCAGACTGACGCCTTCTTTGTTTCAAAATTCTCTCTGTCATTCCCTGGTTACCACTTACTCCAGCTGATGGTGGTTGTCCTCTTTAGCATGATCAGTTGAGGTCTGATGGTTGTTTCCCCCTGCAGCAAGATCAGTTTGGGGTACATGCTTCCTCAGACAGTTTTGGGTTTCCCATTCACGCATGGTGTTTACACTGACTTTTCAATCTTAGCAGCTGTTGTCCGTGTCATTTTGCCAAGGGTGAGCTGTGCAGGCACCCCTACTAGTGATGTTACACAACCATCAAGCTTGTATTAGAGAAAAGAACACGGCTGGATTTTGGAGGTCAGTTCCATATATATTTATTTATATATATATACTTATATATTTATATTCTGTATACATTTATTTTCTCAGGGCTTAGCAGTTCACAATGTTTTGAACTTAGTTACCTCAGCTTGCATAGCTCCATGTGATAAATCCATTCAAATGCGTTGTCACGCTCAGAGGACCAGCCACATATGTCTGTAAGCCTGATCTCTTGTGACCCCTTATCTGTGGGGGACAAGGAGGAGAAGGAAGAAGACTGGAAAGCTATTTTTGTCATGCCATTTTTTGGGACACTACAGACCCCACTTGAGATGAGGTAATGTACAGCAGCTCCTGGGTTTCCCCTGAATCTCCAAAGCACAAAATCAGAGGGCAGGCCTCAGGCAGTGCCCTGTGGGACTGGGAAGCTCTGAGGGGACCACATGCTGGCATTCCCCTTGCGGGGACACTGAGGGTTGCTCCTGTCCCCTTCAAGGCCTCCTGCAGCTCCCAGAGGGGTGCAAAATGCCTATGTGTCACGCAGCCTCTTGCTTCTCATCTGCGAGAGAGGACAGGCCATGCACTGCAGGGCTGCAGCAGCCCTAGCCACCCGTTTTGTTCCTCGCCCCCTCTCACCTGTTGTGTGTGATGCAGGCTTGGTGCCAAGCTCTTGAGCAGCTGCCCTTTTCCAGCTCCCGGGCATGCCAGCGCGAGGAGGCCCAGCCCCGTTTGTTTGCAGCAGGCAGCCCACGAATAGTAACTACTTAAGGCCATTTTGCACACTTCTGTCATCTTATAATTAGCACTCGGTCCCGCAGCCGGTGAGAGTCCCTCCCCACAGCCGGCCTCTCCCCTTCCTCCACTGCATGTCGCAGCACAGCCCGCAGCCACCGTCAGAGATGTTTCTAGATCACACATTACCCGAATTTTCTGCCGGTCACCATCAGCTGCACAGTCTCATTTCCCAAGTCACCAAGCTGGATAAATCATGGCTTGGCTTTGCTCTACATTGTGCTCTTCTCTCTTGCTGCTGCATCAAAAGTAATTGTGTCTGCCCTCCTCCTGCACTGCAGTGAGACACCTCTGCCCGCCTGAGGTGCTTTCTTTGGGTCTCCTGTAAAGCAGGAAACCCAAAGGAAGCTGGGATCTCGTCATTAGATGGCTGTGCCCAAACCCACTGGAGAAAACCAGAGAGCTCCTCATGCACCAGCTCCTAAGGGCGGTGAGATAACCCCCTAACAAAGTCCATTCGCGTGTTGTTCTTTCCTTGGTGCCTGTGCACAGCTTTCCCCGGCCCTGTCCTTCCTCCTGCAGTTAATCTGAACACGGATATCTTTGCACATTTTGTTCTTGGCAGTTTCGAAAGTTGCCTTAGGCTCTTATCACCTTAAAAAATCAGATCATATAGTGGTGGCCTTAGAGACGGCCTGATTGATATTGGAGCAGCTGAACAAATGGTAAATTTGAATAAAATATGGCACCCTGTTGCCTATTAGTTCTGCTGATTCTGAGAGGATAATTTGCCAACATTAAGCAAAGTGCATGTCCCGAGCATCCATGGGACTGCGGATGTGGAAAAGGGTTTGCAGAAGTGCTGTGCAACCTTCCTGAAGTGCCTTTTGCCCATTCCAGATCCTGCATGCCCCAGCCTGTGCAGTTACGGGGATCTGGTACCCCTGGCACTGCCAACCCCACTTCTCTGTGTATTTGTACAGTAATAGAGACATTTGCGGGAAGAGGAGAAAGTTTCCTGGTGATCCTTAAACAAACAGTGATGAAGCCAGGAGCTCCTGCAGCTTGGCTTCCACAGGCACCACCAGCTCCCGTAGCGAGAGTGAGAACACGCTCGGGGGAAGATCGTGTTTCTGGGTAGCCATTTACTCTGTAACCGTGATACGACTGCTCAGGTTTTTCAGATCATTCATTCTAGTTGCTTTCTCCAAACTCACTTTCTGTGGCCTCAGGAACTAACACTGTGGGAGAGTGTGCGGTCCCTTTCTCTTCTCTGATTTGGACATCGCCATGAACCTGCCTGAGTACCTGATGCTGGCTTCATTTTGGGTGACCCCATTGCCTGGGCAGAGGGCAGGGAGGTCTGCGTTAACTGCTGCTGTTCCACCTGCCCTGAACCAGCAGACTGGATGAGATGGGTCCTGACCCGAGGGTGAAGCCAGACACAGCATCCATGAGGTGGGCTAAAGAGTGGGCTTTGTGTTTGGGTGACCACACCGCAACCTGCATACAATTCCCAGCGTGGTGTTTTTGTAGGGTAGGGGGCCAAGGCAAAAACAGCACCCAGGGCATCAGGAGGAGAGCAGGTTCAGCTCCCAAGTGACCAGGCAGGCCTGGTGGCCCAGCGGCTGAGACACAGCCTTGGCTACAGCAGCAATGGCGCTGGGTGCTAAAAGTGAGCGCTTGTTCCTCCTGTGGTGCTCCTCTATTTATTGGCCTGATTGTAATCACAGCCTTCTTAACTTGTAAATGATACGTCCTCCCTACACGGCAGATGATGTTCACTCGGGTATCAGATACTGCTGTCTGTTTGCTCTCGTTATCGCCCACCATCAGCAGGTCTCTTTAAAGACCAGCTCTGACCAGACACCAGGCAGGAGGGAGACGCCATTTGTCCTCAGCCATCTGATCGGCCATTTTCCACCGCACAAATGCCTGTTGAGGGCCAATTCCCCAAACCCAGGCTGGAAGTCCCTGGGGCACACCTGGCTGGCTCCCTCTGACCACACGTAATCTACCACAGAGCCTTCAGCGTACATTGCCCCTGGGTGCAGCGTACATTGCTCCCGTGTGACACTCCTCTTCCTAACCCCGCGAGGCTTTGAGGAGCCCAGCTGCGTGCCTAGGCATGGGGAGGCCGTGCTCAGCCTTGCAGGGTGCCATCACCTCGAGGTGCCCATTCCCGGCAGACCAAGGCCCCAAAAATCAGGCCTGAGCAGGTCGCTTCAGGGGCTGGCTGTGTGTGGTGGCCATGAGGTGCCTGGGGAAGGGCCCCACGTTGGGGCTGGCCCCTGGGGACAGCGGGGCGGCTGGCGTGCGGTTGCCCAGCCTCCTGAGCAACCAGAACGGGCGGAGGGAAGGCTGACAGAGCAAGCCTGCAGCTTAACAGCAGGAAGACACCCGGGGCGCCATGTCGTGACCAGGAGGAAGTTCAGAGGTAAATACATCCCAGTGGGGCACGGCAGCCGGGCTGCACGTGTGACTCAGCTGTGTCGTGACACTGTGGGACTGGGACATGTTGGTGAACTTCCATCGTGGATGGGGATCCCAAGGCCGCACCAGAGCCCTTTGCCCCTTCCTGGGGTCCCCTCACAACGAGCTGTGGGGCCGGGACCCCCACAGGGTGCCGCAGCCACCACACCACCCCCCCCCATCATCGGGCCGGCCCCTCCCTGAAGGTCACCTTGCGAGGGCGGCTGCGCCCTCCTCAAAAAATAAAAAAATAAAAGTAAAATAAAAATAAAAATATATATAATTAAAAAAAACCCCACACCATCCCGGCAGGTGCCGCGCGGCGCCCCCTCCCCTCCCCGTCCCGTCCCCTCCCCTGCCCGCCCCCTGCCGCCTGCCAGTGGCTGCGGCGCGGTGCGGGCGGGGCCCGCGCCCTATATGAAGGGCTGCGGCGGGCGCTGAGCGCGGCCGCTCCGTGCCCGCTGGGCTCCGCTGCTTCACCCCCCGCTCCTCCGTGCTCCGACAGCCCCCGGACCCCCTCCAGCGCCCCCTCCCCTCCCCGCAAGCCCCCTCCCCGCAGCCCGTCCCGGTGCCGCGGAGCCCGCCCGAGCCCCTCAGCGCTCACCCCCCCCCTTCTCCCCATCCCCTCCGCCGCCCCCCGCTCGCTCGCCATGGCCCGCGGGAAGGCCAAGGACGGCGACGGCAACTGGAAGAAGTTCATCTGGAACTCGGAGAAGAAGGAGCTGCTGGGCCGCACCGGGGGCAGCTGGTGTGAGTGTGGGACAGGGGGATGAAGGGGGGGGGGGGAGCCGGCGGCGGGGCGACCTTGTGAGGGCGCCTCGTCCTTGGCGCTGCCTCGCCCCGCAGGGAGGGCAGCGGGGCCCTGCCGCACCCCCCGGGCAGGGGCAGCCCCCCGCAGGTGCTGGGGTGCCCCCCGATGCTGAGCCTGGTCCTGGCGTGAGGGAGCAGCCCCAGGTGCCAGCCCTGGCTCCGCTGGACCGCAGCGGGCTCCTGCCCTGCCCCTGTGTGAGCAGGATGGGGCTGTGGGTGCGCACCCATGGGTGCCCGCTGTGCCCGAGGCTCCGCAGTGCTCACGACGCGGAGGCAGAGCGAGCCCTCCTGGTGCCCACCCGCCTGGGAGCGATGTCAACCCGCAGGCTGGCCGTCCCGTTCCTCCGTCATAAGCCTACCTGGTGTGGGAAGCTGTGTGGTGCAACCCCCTTGCGCTGGGTTGCCGCGTGTTTGTTCTGAAACCGTGACCTTTACGGTGTCTCTGGGGCTAGGAGCATCCCGGCTGGGAGACCGGTTAAATAAGCTACCTCCCAGCGCCGGCCTTTTGATGTTACAAAAACTCAAAGGCGTTACGCTGCGGACAAGAGCATTAGTGTTTGGTTTGTTACAACAGCACCTCCTATGACCGTGCTCTGGAAAAAATTTCCAAATGTCTTTGACGTCACGACCATTTGCTTTACGCTGCCTGGATACCAAAGAGTGCTTTAACTCCTGGAGCACCGCGATCCGCACCGAGCTCTGCTCACCAGCCATGGCTGCCGCCCCGCTCCCCGGCGGACGAGAGGATGGAGTGTCTTTCTGAGCCTGTCCCTCCTGATCCTTTCTGTCGTAAATGGAAAACGAAATCCACCAGAAATGGCTGCTTTAATGAGGAGGCTTCTCCACTGATGGAGCTTTTTTGTGACGGTGCTCAGGAGAGGAGGAATACCTTCACTACTGCTTCCTCCCCTGCCCTTGTATCTGTTCACCTTGAGTCCTCCATGTAAACCTCGTCCGCGTTCGCGATGAGGCTAGGACGCCGGGATCGAGCAGGCTCTTTGAAGTGTTCCTCGCTGCAGTGCTTGTTCCTGCAGCCCGATTAGCCCCTAGTTGCTTGGCATGGGCTGGCTTATCCTTCCCGTAGGCGGCCTGGTGATGCCTAGTACGGCGTGTTACTGTGCAGTTAATCAGTTGAGATAATCCCTGTAAACTGGTAACCGATACCCAGAGTCTGAGCTGCGCTGCCTCTCAGGCTCTTCCCCCCCACTAGGATTATTCTAGGCATCTCCTTTCAGACCCAAACTAAATTTAGTCTTTCATTATTACATAATTCAGTTTTTAATTGGTATGAGCGGTGCTGGCGTGCCTTTGTAGATGCGCAAGGTTGGTAAATGCAGAGTGCTGTGACACACTGAAGTGCTTGCCTGCATTTGAGATTGAGCCTTGGTGCTGGTTTGGGCCTAAAATCTGCCCCTGTTGGCTCTGGTGGAGGTCGGAGCCTGAATTATTAGGGAAGTCACACTTGAGCAATGCTGAATCTAACAGCTCCTGTGGGCTCTGTGGAAATAGCTCTGAAGCCCAGAGTGGTGTGGAGTGTGTAGCACTGCCTATAGCACATTGACTTGCGTTGGGCTGGTGCTTCGCTGAAAGCCTGTCACCTTGTGGTAGCCTTGGTCAGCCAAGGGATCCATTAAAACATGGGAGAACACATTGTAATCCTCACCCTTTATGATCCCAAATTAATTGGGGCTTGATCCGATTCATCTTTCCGTTTGTTTTCTCTTGCAGTTAAGATCCTCCTCTTCTATGTCATCTTCTACGGTTGCCTGGCAGGTATTTTCATTGGGACCATCCAAGTGATGTTGCTCACCGTCAGTGAATTTGAACCCAAATACCAGGATCGAGTGGCACCTCCAGGTAACTAACGAGGAGGCCCGTGCTGGCCCGGGTGCAAGCTGTTCTGGGGAGGCGGTTTGGTTACTCACCTCCAGGAGGAGGATGAAATAAGCATCTCGTTGCTGCAACACATATTTGTAGGGGGTGGGTATGTTCTAAGCCTTCTGTGTTAACAGCACGGGAAATCGAAGGCAATCCAGACAGAATTAAAGGTTGCATCACATGGAGTGTGCCTCCTGTCTGAGAGGAACTTGAACCTGGATTGTTGCTCTCCCATTTCCCTAAGCAGAAATGATGCAGTGAGGCTCAGGCTTTGCTCGGGAATGAGCTCTGTGACAGAACTGGGTTCAGTTTTTCTTCATAGCCACTGCGCTCCTATGGGAAAATGAAGGGGCAAAGGGAAAATCCCGGCTTCATCCTTGAAACTGGGGTGCACAAGGAGAAAGGGGGCAGTACCAATTGTGGATGTGCTTGCTGAATTGTGCTGGTTAATGCTGAGCTCTGCTGTGTGAGCCAGAGGAGGTAATGGCATCTGCAAAGGGCTATTTCCCTTGATTTCGAGTGGGGAGGGTTAGAGGCAGCTCCTGATGGACGGCCTTTCTCTGTTAGATGAAACAGGAGCCCCTGCTCGAGGTGCAAACGTGCTGAGAGCCCCCCTCTTGTTGCTGCAGACGGGGTGAGCAGCCACTGCCGCAGGTCAGGCTCTGCTGCGCTGGTTCCTGCCGCAGCCAGCAGCCGCACGGAGCGTGGCAGGGAGCTGCGCAACTGCTGCTTGCCCACATTGCAAATGACCTTGAGGCTGCTTGGCACTGGCTATGGTAATGATCTGCCTCCAGTTGCTCTGTAAAACAGTTCAGAAGCTTTTAATAACGGTGGTATTTAAGTGACAATTGTGAGGCTGACGGCTTGTAGCTGCAGAAGCTGGCTCTAGTGTCACACGGTGTTTTACAGCCCCACTGTCTGCAGTGCTGCTATGCTGCAACTGTTCCCTGCTCTGACAGCACGGGGAGCGGTGCCTTCACCAGATGGTGCTAATCTCCGCAGAGAATCATCTTTTTCAGATAACTGCTTTTCCACCAGCATTTTTTAAACAAAACAGACTGAAACTGCTGTCTTAGTATATGGCATTTAAGGTACCAGCATAGCTGGGTTAAGTGCTGTCTGGAGCACTGTATCCAGCTCTGCATCAGGCTTTTGATGCTTGCAGGAAGGACTAAACTGTCACTGGTGCTGACCAGAGCTGTTAGCTGCATTTGGAAGACTAACATGGATAATGGTGGAAGAGTTGTTTTTTTTTTTTTAATGTGTTTTTCCTCGTCTGAAGCCCAGTGGTCTTACCAGACATGAAATAATTAGCAAAGAAACTGGATCTTGGGTCGCATCCAGACAGACATGCTGTTTAGCCTGATGTCACATAATTACTCATTCTAGGTAACTTAGAATTATTGCAAACCCCCATTACCCAAAGCTAATTTCAAAGCAACTTGGTAGTAAAATCTCTGTGCAAGATCTCAGCCTGCAGAGGGTTTTATTTGTCTCTTTAATTAAATACTGCACCACTTTTCTGAGCTTTGTCCTTTCTTAACAACAACAAAAAATATATTTCAAGATGCTGTTGTAGTGGGTGCTATAGGAAGCAAAATGGAGGAAGGCTGAAAAGGCTTTGGGGGGTCTTTTAAGTTTGAAATGGGCTTTCAGGACTTAAACCAACCAGAATTAAAAAAAAAAAATTTAACTCCTGAACAAATGGCAGCCTGTTTGAAAAGGGTTTCAAACCTATTGTAATGGCACATAGTGGCACATGAATACCATTTAAAGGGGATACTTTCCTGCTAACAGCACAGAGCCCTTGGCAGGCCATCATCTGACTTAGCTACCAATGTGGATGAGCCTGCGTGAGGTGTGCTGTCAATGTCAAGTTTGTTTCTCGCCCTGCAGTATGGCACCCATTAGACCACAATGTGCCCAAATAAACTTTTAACAAGGGCTTTATGGAGGCTGTGCTGAGTTGTGCACTGATGCCTGCGGGAGGTCAGCAGTCCCTGTGTTCCCATGCTGCCTGGGGTCTCCTGCACTGCAAGCAGAACTGCATTGCTGACGATTAGCACACTTGCTCATGTACACGGTGAGCATCGAACTTCCCATGAACTGGGAGCCGTGCAGACTGTGAACTACTTAAAATAAAATGTTGTGCAATTCTAGTTCCTGGTTCTTGTGGGGAGAGTTGCAAGCCAAGTATAGTGACAGCTTGAAAACTAGAGGGCAAGTCCCTTCAGTTTCCACCTTCCCTAACCATCTTGGGCTCACATGAACCTCTCCTTCAAGGTTTGCAGGAAAAAAAATGCTGTAGGGGCTGCTGCAATCTCATTCCTGTTCTGCAGTACACAAATTCACTAACAGTGGCAGAAGCTACAGGATGTTTCATTGAGTTATTGATAGGGGCACAGCACTGAAAGCCATAAAGTGCTATTTTTAAATATCATTAACATGCTAATTGGTTCCTGCACCACTTGGCTGTGCATTTCCAGGATAACTTCCCTCCTGGGGGAAGGGGCAGCGCAGTTCACCTTGTCCAGCCCTTGCCACGGGGACAGCCCCTGCTCCTGGTACATTTCCACCTGTGCCGTGCCTCGGGCTCTGCTTTGCCACAGCCCTTACCCTGCTAAGGGGGAAGGGGGGGGAATTGCCTTTGAAACACAGAGTGCCAAGTGTTTTCCTGAATCCATTTTCTTTCCCAACCCAATCTAAATCGGGCTGTGTATCCTGCCATCTTGTGGTGTTTGTCCTGTTAAACACGGTCCACCTGCCCTACAGCTGGTGTAGGGGGGGGAGCCCACAGCTGCCTGAGGCTGTTCAGGAGTGGCTGCAAAGGGGATTCCTGCTCGGGTCAGGAGATCTCATGTCTTCGTGTCCCTGCTGGTTTAAGTACCACCTTGCCACGATGTGCTTGGGCAGTGCATGATGGCTGGTGTGGTGTGCGTTCCCCAGCTGGCTTACTTAGCTCAGACAGTAGCTGGGAGGTGGAAATGAGAGCGACAGGAAAGCCCCAAGGAGCAAGTGCCACCTCCTGTCGAGTCACGCTTTGCTGCTGCATCTTGTCGCAGCACCAGAGTATGAGAAATACCTGGATCTCCAGCTCCAGAGACATGACCTGCCTCCAGCTGAGCAGACCTTGCATTTGTAGAGAACTTGCAGCTGCTTTCTGCACTTCTGTGGTGAGGCGGGCAGTGATTAGGAGCTGGGAAGGACATCCATGAGTGTGGAGGCTCTCAAAGTCCATCCTCACTGAGCGAGGCTGGCGGGGGTGCGTTGGGTAGGGATGGTGTAGTGGTTGCTAAATTGGTCATCTGTGTCACCCGAGTGGTGCTCAGACACAGCGTGAACCAGGAGAATGTGGTGCTGGGAAGTGAGCACAGCGTGATGAAGCAGCTGTTGTCACTACAGGCTTGCACAACCATTCCTAATAACGAGCTTGACCTACTGCTCCTGGCTTCTTCCCCTTCACCCTCCAGACGCGTTTTTCTGAAGTCTTGCTCCTGCAGCTTAGAGCGATGAGGTCTGTGTAGGGATTGAGTTTTAAATGAAATGGAATAAATGTGATTTTAGTCTGCAACAGCGTTATGGAAGTAGAATGGTAGCTGGAAAAAATAATGGCCTCACGCTTGCTTCATTTTAGATATCCTGGTGCAGTCACGGAGTTAGCCAACAAAAAGAGGCGTCGTGTTGTTAAGTCAAGGCATCATTCGTTGCTTAGTGGCTGGTGGCAGTCCAGTGAGAATGGCAGTCTGATTTCCTAGCAGTGTCCTCTAAGACAACTGCGGAAATAGTATTTCAAAATCAAAAGCAGCTCTGTCACCGTTTTCCTAGCAATCAGTGACTTGATTCTTCCATGTTGTGGGCAGCAGCATCACTACACGTGACTGGTGCTTCTCCGGTGATAGCATGAGACGAACCGCGGCCAGCAGGACATCACTGCACAGTGAGGGAGCGTTGCTTGGACTCCTGGCTATGGGAACACTTGAGACTTCATTTCTTTCCCCCTAGAGCTTGCTCAGGAATGGCTTCCTCGTGTGCACAAGTCCCTAAGAGGCTTAATCATCCCTGTACTTCATTAGTGCTGCATATTTCCTTGCATGCCTATTGGCCCCTGGTAGGTAGCTCTGGCATGGCTCAACTTGGTAAATTTTTTCCCCTACTTGTTTCAGTTCTCGCAGTAGGGGTGAGAGAAGGTTTCAGACAGGCTGCAGAAGTCTTTTAGAGAGGAAGGGTTCACTGGTAGTGCTGCTCTGATGGCAGCAGAGAACCTTTTAGTTTGGATATGAACATAGAGGTGGCACAGCAGGGATGGCAAGGAAGGATATCAGTGATAGGTCTGTGCGTAGGGCTCTGTGCAGTCAGTCACAGGCATGTGGGTATGGAAGTGGTGGTGGAAACCAGTGATGGATCTTTTTGAATCAGGATAAAGCACCTTTCGTCTTCACATCGATTGTCCTGTTTGTCTGATGAGTGCTGCTCTGCACATCGGCACCCAGGTGTGGACCTGTCCCAAAGGCAGACCCTTTGTGTCGGGAGCCTGTTCTCCAGGTCACTGGCCAGCAGACTGGCTTTGGGCTGGGCGTGTTGGTGGCCAGGCTGCCGAGGCCTCCGCAGGTGCTCGTGCTGCCCTTCCCCTCACCCCTGCCTCGCCTGTGCGGGTGCCTTTACGCGCTGCACTGCCTTGGATAAGATAAAAAGCAGGGGTGGGGACTTGCTGCCCGGGGTCCTCAGCGCAGCCGATAGTTCAGCTGCCTGGCTAAAGCTTATTAAGGGCTGGCCGAGCTTTCTTGAATGTTATATTTACACAGCCCGATGATAACTGTAACCTGAACTCTGGAGGAGGCAGACCCAGATAGCCACTTGAAGCGACTCTCAGCCTGTTGCTTCCTAGCGGGCTAGTAATGCAAGGGGAGGCTGGCAGCACAGACTGAACACAGTTTATACATTTATAACCATTTGTGAAGCAAGAAAGCAAATAATTAATTGAAAAGGGGTTGAAAACTCAACTGATTTCATAGGGTGAGCCCTAACTCTGCTGGTGGAGCACCGAGCTGCTTCTAAACTTGTAACGCTCGCCCCGGCCTGTTCGTACCACCAGGAGATTGGAGAGGGCAGCGCTGCTTCCTGGAATAAAACTCGAAACCGCAAGCTGCTCGCTGGACGTCTCGCTATCTTTGGCTACTCGGAGCTGCGTTTAGGGGAACAAAGCTAATCTTTGTCCTGGGTTACAAATTCCACCTCAGTGGGCAGGGGAGTGGTGAGCTGGCCCGAGGAGGGACTAAGCAGAAGCACTCAAGTGGCTTTGGAAAAACGGCAGGAGTCACAAGCTCCTGTGGGCTGGGGCCAGCCAGCTAAGCTGCCCGAGTTTTGTGCTGGAGGAACTTGTTGGCAACAGACCTGCTGTCAAAGCAAATGCTGCTCCCCTGCTCCTTTTTTTTGTTCTCGCTAAAGTGGAGATGACAAACTGAACACAAGTCGAGACCTCAATAATTACAGTGGCAGCCGCAAAGGCAGCGTGAGCTCCAGTTCCCATCACTTTAAGCTTAAGCGTTAGCCAGTGCATCAATGCATTCAATTAAAACGTGACCCAAGCTTCACGCAAGAGCAGCTATTTCCAAGTCCCATAATGACAAGCAAAGGGCTTGGCATTTTTCATCATCCGCAGCCATTACTTGTATCCAGTGCCTTCTGCCCATGCATTCTTTTTCTACTCATCCTCCGAAAGTCGAAATTGGAGCTGGTTACTCAGCCCAGAATGTAGGGCAGTCTTTTGAACGTCTCTCCTGTGTGGAGGTGTTTCTTGCTCGGTGGTGTGTTTCTGATTATAGAGCTCAGGATGCTATTTCTACAGCCAGGAATGATGTTTAAGGAGTGAAGAGACGAGTCAAAATGATCAGGCTGATGAACTCACTGAGAAAATGTCTCCTTCCCACAAGGGAAACGTGGAGAGGCTGCACCTAACTCAGGGAGCCCCCCTCGTCTGCTGTTGCAGGGGTTGATGAATGGGCATCCCCGATGCGCCCTAAACGCGTAGCATTGCACCCTGTCAGGGACATGTGTTAGAGAAGCCTTCCGGGGGAGTTTGGTTGTGTGATGTTCTCTCACACAGTTTCCCTTCTGCCCTCGGGGAGGAGGCAGCAGTGGGCAGGGGGCCTGCGGCTGGCTGTTTTTCTGGAGAAAAACCTTGACTTGTAGCCTCCCTTCTGCCTCTGTGATTTTTATCTGCTTAGTGATGCAAACACCGTGACGAATATTCCAGACTGTTGTTGGAAAGAGGAGATAAGAGCCCTTCAGAACCTCCCCTCTAGTGAGCTTGTTTTGTGCAAGTCCTGAGGTCTGAAAAATGCAGATTAGTAAGAACGCTTTATGCTCTCGGTGTGTGTAGCATTGCCCAGAGGCTGTGCAGCTCATAATGTTTTCTTTCTGATTTTACTTTCTTTAGGACTGACCCAAGTCCCCCAGGTACAAAAGACAGAAATTTCTTTCACTGCCTCCGACTCTAAAAGTTACGAGCCGTACGTGAAGAATCTTGAGAAGTTCTTGAAGGACTACAGCGCTGATCAGCAAACTGAAAACATCGTATTTCAGGACTGCGGGGGTAAGTCTGGGCTGCTTCCTACACCAGTGCCTCTGTGTCAGGCCCATCAAAAAAGGAGGGTTAGCAGCGGTGTTCTGTCTTCAGCTGTTCCTTGCATTGTTACCAGAGCTACGCTGGTAAACTTTAACTGGTGGACTCTGGTTTCAGTCACATCACTGCTCATTAAACAATTAGTTGAGACAGACCACATTTGGCCAGGGACGTACCTAAGAAGCTTACTGCAATGGGTATGTGGCCAGCGACTTGCAGATTTCACTTGGCCAAAGGTGCAGCTGACTCTCAAAAGCACCTGGCACTGACCTTATATCCTCCCTGAAAGCCACACGGGGATTTTGCAGGTGACTTTGCTGAAGCCAGCGTCAGTCCTCCTGATGCAATGCAGCAAAGCATCGGGAAGACGTTAATCTTTAACAGATTATAAGCAATAATGGGGACTCAGACTGTCGCCTCATGTGAGACGTGCATGTGAAATCTGAGGGGAACCCGCTCGTAAAAGCTGATAAAAAAATCTCTGCGCCAGTGAATTGCAAATGCGTTTGCTCTCTGGTAGCCTGTAGGAAGCCTCAGATAGAAAACAAAGCCCCCACAGACTTGCTGGTCTGCGATCAGCCTGCGTGTGGGGGAGTGGCTGGGTGCAGGTCTGTGCTGTCAGCCTCTAGAAGGTGGCGTCACCTGCCTGGGCAAGTGGGAAATCCCGACGGCACGGTGAAGCACAAATAAAGCTGTTCTGACGAGCAGAAGGTTGAGTTGCATATATTTGTTTTTCCATTCCTCCACCATGGCAGACATGCCTACGGATTACAAAGACAGAGGACCATACAGCGATACCCAAGGCCAGAAGAAGGTCTGCAAATTCAAACGTGAATGGCTGGAAAACTGTTCTGGAATACAGGATCCCACCTTTGGCTACAAGGATGGCAAACCATGCATCCTCGTCAAGCTCAACAGAATTATTGGCTTCAAACCTAAGGCAAGTATCTCTTCCCTTTGTAACAGGAGCTACTGATAAGGACAGGGAGTTGGCTGCAGATTTGCTGTGGCTCCGGAGCAATTATTGAATTTGTGCCTGCGCTTCTGTCTCTGGAGATAAGCGTGAAACCCGTTCTGCAGCGGGGGGACTGTGAGGCCGTTTGAATGGCTGGCTTTAAAAGTACGTTTCTTTAAAAAGCAAACTGCACACTGCAAGCTTATGGCGAGCAGCCGTGAGCTCTGACAGCACGAGCTGCTGGTGAACTGCCTGGTGACTCGCAGAGCCTGCTAACGGGCTGCTCTGACAAGGTGTTCTCTTCAGCTGGTAAAACCCACTTTAACCCTGCGCTTCTGCGTGACTGTCGCAGACCTACCATGTCTGTAGTGAGCTCAGCAAATTGTGTCATGCCTCCATCTTCTCCATTCTTTCCTCAGGCAGTGCGGAGTTGCCTGGCTTGCTAAAACCACTTAATTAAATGGAGTAGTGCTATATTAGGCATTAGGCTGATACATGTCTGTAAAGCGTAAACTACATTGGAGAGTTTGGCAAGGCTCTTACTGCAGGAAAGGTGAGGAGATCTTTAGGTGATTTAATGCAGCCTCAGAAACGCTGGTTTATGTCTGCTGTCACCCTTGGCTCGGGCTGGGCTGGATAGCAGGTGTGCAGTGACGCTGAAGGAAGTTCAGCTGCACGGGAACCGCTTTTACTTGCAGGTTTTTCCCCAGCACGTTTAAATGCTAAAACATTCTATAAGAACTCGGCAGCAGAATGCATGTTCCTGAACGAGGCACTGTGCGAAGCACGCCTCTCCATCTTCTGGGTGGAAGGCAGTGCAAATGGTGCGGCAAGCAGCCTTCATCACTACCCATCAGTGTCTCTGAGAGCAGGGGGAAGGGGACTGACTGGCCAGCTGACGTGTTTTGAGGAATGTTTTACAAAGGGGACTGCCCTGTGCTAGAATTCAGTTGAATTTGGAACCATCTGATCCTGGGTGGCAACAGCGAGTGCGTTTGAGCAGGCACATGCTGTGCTTGGTACGTGGCGGTTGTAGGATGGCAGGAAGGGCGCGTGTTTGATGATCGGGGAAGAGAAGGGGTTGGTGCCTGCCTCCATTCCTTGCCACAGGGCTCTGCAGAGCTCTGGGCTGCATTATAGAGCAGGGTCTGGTGGAGGTATGACTTCACACGCTTCCTTTAGGAATGACGCACGTGTCCAAGGCCGTCCTTGTCTCCCCCATTCCACGCTTCATCAGAGACCCTACAGCTCTGGTGTTGCCAAACACAAGTGAAGCCAAACTCCTCTAAGTAAGAGACCAACGTCGGAGCTGACGCTCCCAGCTTTCCCTCAGACACTTGGAGCCTTTGTCCTTCCGTGCCGGTGATGTCAAAGCTGGGGAACGTCAGGGTGTGCCTGCCTCTATTGTTCTGTGCTGCACGTTTCCAGTCCTAACTGCACTCACCTGGCGCAGAGGTAGCAAAGCTTCCAGCAGAGTGTCTCATTCTGCCACTGCGTGACATTTGCACAAACCCTGCTGGCAGATGGTGCTCTACCATGAGACGCTTTCCTCAGTGAAATGAAAAATACCCTGAAGTGCTTGCTTTGGCAGCCAGAGCAGCTTTACGTGGGTTAACTTCTGTGTTGTGTAGTTGTGTTACGCTGCGTGTCCTCCCAGGAACAGGCACCAGTTGCTGCTGCCTCTGAACTTGAGCTGGAAGGGATCCCCGTTGGCTGTTAGTTTGGTACCACTGAGCTTTGCTGCTGCCAAGAGGCGTTCAGTGTGTAACGTTGGTTTGTGTTTCTTCTAGGCTCCAGCAAATGAAAGCCTTCCTGCAGAGGTCATGGCAAAATACAACCCGTATCTCATCCCCGTGCACTGTGCTCCCAAGGTAAGTGAGATGCAACAAAGGTGAAATCAGCATACTGCAGGCAGGGACTCCCCAAGTCTTCGTCCAGCCGTAGCTTCCTCGCTCTGCCTTCCTGCAGGCAGTTGGGGTGGTTTTCACTTGGGAGCTCTTCCCAAAATGTCATTGGTGAGAAAGGAACAACAGCAGTGTCCTCACAGAGAGGGGCAACAGCAGGGCCAAGGAGTAAAAGGGATCCTCAAAATAGCTTCCAAATGATACGCTGGAGTTCTTAGCAAGGATGGTTGAAAAATGGCTCTGGCAGAGATGCTTTACCTTGAATATTAGAACTGCTGAGGAACAGCAGAGGCTTCTTGTTCCATTTAGTTTTTTAACCACAGATGGTGCATTGGTATGACAAGCAGCTGTGGTGTCCTCTCTATGTACAAAGAAGTGTCTGAGTTTTTTTTAAAAAAGCTCTTTTCCTGGATGATACATGCTTGGAGGCGCTTCCTTTCAGCAGCTGCTGGTAGGACAGCTCATGACTGTCCCTTCCACCATGGGGACGGTCCTCGTGCTGTCAAGCTGAGGCTGGGTGGTGACCAAAGAGAGCGCACAGCATTGGTGAAAAGCAGATGGTGGGAAAACAGCTGCAAAATGCAGTGCTGGGATAACGAGCATCTCTTGTTCTTGCCCATCTCTCAGAGAGACGAAGATGCAGACAAAATAGGCACAGTGGAGTACTACGGGATGGGAGGCTACTCCGGCTTTGCCCTGCAGTACTACCCCTACTACGGCAAGCTCCTGCAGCCGCGGTACCTGCAGCCGCTGGTGGCAGTGCAGTTCACCAACCTGACCTACGACGTGGAAGTGCGCGTGGAGTGCAGGGCCTACGGGCAGAACATCCAGTACAGCGACAAAGACCGCTTCCAGGGACGCTTTGATATTAAATTTGACATAAGAAGCAGCTGATTGTAAGCACAACTCTCTTTCCCCCCTCTCCTCCTCCTAGCCATTTAAAAAGGTTTAAAAAAAAAAAAAAGAACAAAAAAGAAAACCTACTAGTCTTGAACAAACTGTCATACGTATGGGACCTACACGTAATCTATATGCTTTACACTAGCTTTCTGCATTTACTAGGTTAGAATGTAAACAAAGTGTAGCAATAGCGACAAATATTTATTCTACTGTAAATGACAAAAGAAAACAAAATTGAGCCTTGGGACATGCCCATTTTTACTGTAAATTATGATTCCATAACTGACTTGTAGTAAGCAGTGTTTCTGGCCCCTAAGTATTGCTGCCTTGTGTATTTTATTTAGTGTACAGTACTATAGGTGCATACTCTGGTCATTTTTCAAGCCATGTATTGTATCTGTTTTCTACTTCTCGTGAGCAAAGACTTTTGCTGTCCAAGGTGTAAATACTCAATGGGACTAGAACTGGCATGATACTTCTAATTATTTTGTTCCTTTTAAAAGAAAGGCCCACCTGTGAGACTATATTTAACAGCACTCCATAAGGCTTCTGACTTTTCTGTGGTGTTAGGGTATTTTATTTGGAGGGGTGGCAGGGGAAACTAACTTAAGTGAAGTTAAAGAGAATAAATGATTGTGTACTGTGCTTGTAGCGAATGCTGTCTCTCTCTCTCTCTTTCTCTCTCTCTCTCTCCACCTTTTCCCTCATCCTCCAGTATGTTGTGTGAGAGACCTGGGTCAGACTATCACTCCCCTCGGTGATAGGCATAACTCTTTGCTTTGTATATTTTCTTTTTTCTTTTTTTTTTTTTCTTTTCCTGCTGGAGGCATCGCACACTGTGGTGCTAATGTCTTTATTGAATGTTTTAACCATTTTCATGGTGGACGAATTTTATATTTATGCAGTTGTACAATTTTATTTTTTCTGCAAGGAAGTGTAATGTATGAAATAAACCAAAGTCACATGTTTGAAAATAAATCTTTATTTTAAACTTTATAAAAGCAATGCAGTACCCCATAGAATGGTGTTAAATGTTGTCTAAAGTGCAAAACTCTATGTTCTAACATGTAATAATAGCCAGGAGTACAGTGCTCTTGTTGATCTTGTATTTCAGTCAGGTTGAAACATTGGACAAATAAATGAATGAACACACTGCTTGGTGTCCACGGCTTTTGCTTTGCGTGGGGATAGAGGCTCTCAGTTGTCCAGAATCTTGAAGAAGTACTGCACCTAGTCCAAAACAAAACACATTTTTATCATTTCCGGAGCATCTGAGCTTGAGGTGGTTGAAATGCGCACTGGGATTGCTGTCAAGTGCTGCTGCCACCTTTGAGCAAATACGTGATGCTTCCACACTATAACAGAGCGGTTTGGGGTTAAGTATTTGTTCTCCCCTCGCCCTGAGCTGATGCCTTAGAGGCTTCAGAGGCACCCGCGCCCTGATTGCATTGCTCATTAAAACGTCCTCAGTGAAGGCTTGTGATGTTCGCCATCACCGCACGTGCTCCAGGCCTAGCGGCACCGATTGTGTTCCTGTGGTAAGGTCAGGTAAGAGCCATTTGTTAACCACCTGCCAGAGGTAAGTGCTGCAGGGCCAGGCGGGGAGAGAGCTGGAGTCACAAAAGCAGAAGAAAGGGAGCTGCAGGGCCGGGATTTGTCCTTGGCTGCTGCTGGGCCAACTGCTGCTCTCTGAGCACAGGCTGCGCCTGAGAGGGCTGCTCAGAGACGTGACGGGTTGGCAGCCAGCTTCCTGCCGGAGTCGAGATCCCTTTATGCTGTATGAAGCAGATCCCAGGCAGAATTTCTCTGGGTAAAGTGGCAAAACATGAATATCCTAGAGCAAGCTGCTTGAAAAAGCCCTCATAATTAGAATGCAATATACTGGAAAAACAATCTGCTGAACTTTTAGCCATCTGCTTGAAGGCCAAACATAGCTATTGTACACCACAGCAGTCAGCACAAGTATTTCATCGTTTTTAACAACGAGCATGAGCTAGCTGAAACCTCACCTTTGGCTGGTTAATTTGCTGCTGTATGCATATAGGCAAGGGCTCAACGAAACAAAGCTGCTGTGAGTGAAGCACCAAAGTACTCCCTGAAAGGCACGCTGAAGTCACACGTGTTACGGGAACACTTGGCCGTGTGGGCGCCCGGCAGGCGGTTGTTTTACAACCTAGATGGGGTGGAGATGGGGGTTGCACGGGTCAAGGTTTCTTAGGTACAGCCTCGCCCCTACAGGTCAAACCTTATGTGCTTGGCAGGTGATACTTCAAAAAAAAAAAAAAAAAAAAAAAAAAAAAAAAAAAAAAAGCTTTAGTCTTTAGTTTAAGAAAAGCCAACTCATAGTTAGATAATTTATTGCAGGCTAATTTACTATATAAGAGCAAAGTCCAAGTGTAAACCAATAATAAAGATAGTGTCCCATTCTAGGGGGCTGGCCAAACACCACGGAAAGCTTACAGCACCTGTGTTTCCTTCAGGGAGGAGGTGGCACAGGCAGCATGTACCCTGAGTAATACATTATAAAAAAATAATGCAAAAACCAAGCATTTATCCACAAATCACTATAACACCAACTCAGTGAAAGCAGGCTGGCCAGCTCGGCTCACTAATTAACCAGGCACTAACTGCAGTGGCTGCCCTGTCCTCACACTTGCCAGCCGCCCACTGACGAGACCGGGCTTCCTGACAGCTCAGCTACCACCAGGCTGCCCCAAAATGCAACTCATTCGTCAGCCCCAGTGGAGGCTCAGCACCACACGGCTGCAGGGATTAAACGAACCCACAACCACACCAGAAAACCATGTGCGGACTTCTGGACAGGCAGCTCACGCACTGGAGCCAGCAACGATTGTTACACGGCAGAATTTACCTTCACAGTCCTACTGCCAGAGCCGCCCTGTGCTGCTATGCACACAGTGAAAAGCTGGGGAAGGTAAAGACGTGAACGAGCTCATCCAGCTAAAATTAACAGCACCTGCAGGCTGATTTTTTTTTTTTTTCCTGGGGGCGGGGTCTGTGCTGTATTGCCCGTGTAACAGCCCCTCTCTCCAGGCAGGCACCTTGTTCCTCGCCGCCCAGCAGGACACCGCATTATGAGCTGCCAGTTTGAACACCTTGTTCTTGCTGCCAGCTTGGCTCACTGGAGTTCAGTACAACTGTAACCATTAATGCGAATTTTATCTCCTGGCTTGTTGATACAGGGCCGCTGGATTTCAGAGGTAGAGCAAAGCATTAAAATCCTTATAAAATAAGAAGCAGAACAACGCATTTAACACCAAGCCACTTTAAGCCTGTGCCGGCACAGGCGTACAAATAAAGGCCAGGAACCAGTTTTCACAGCACTGAACGTGGGCAGGTTGAGCGTGCGCTCCGCCACCTCCCACCACATCCTGCACCCTGCGGCCAGGCCCCCACCCTGCCCTGGCAGGTGCTGCAGGACGCTGTCCTGGGCTGAGCAGCCCAATAACCTCAGCCTTGCTTACGACCTACAGGAAACGTCCTCCCCAACCAGCTTCCATTGGCTTGTTTCAGAGCCACAGGGCCTGCTCTGCAGAGGCTCACCCACGAGGACAGGCACAGTGCGTGCTGTATGAAGCGCGGAGCTGGGTGCCACTCTGTCCTCCTCGCATGTAATGCTGAGGTGGGTCAGTGCCGCCCGGCTCCTGTAAAACCTGCTAACAGCTGCACCAGGGAGGCTGCGGCTCTCCAAGAACCTCGCCCTCAGCAGCTCAGACGAGAGCCGCCAGCCAGCAGGCGCCAGCAGCCACCAGTTATCACACTCAGTGCCAACACTGAAGGCAAGAACCAGGAGCAAGGACTTCAGCAATACCAAGAGATTTGGGGTACCCCCATCTTTAGAGGACCCAGCTGGAGACAGCTCTAAGAACCCAGATCCAAAAGTGCCAAGACAACCGGGGCATCCCAGCTGGGGTTAGGCATGCCCAAACACCCCCTGTTTCAGGAAACAGTCACTCTCTTTCCCAGGGCCCACGTACAGTATCAACCACCAAAAAAGCAGCTGCGCCTGCATAAAGCCCCTCAACACACCCCGAGGACCGAGGGCAAGGTCTCTGTCATCCAAGCACTCCTCTGGTTTCTCTACAGGACCTCTACAGGTGGTAGGGGACAAGCTCACACCAGGAACTGGCCTGAAGCCAACCCATTTCACAGAAACCACCCAATGACTGTCAAAGGAATGCTGAACATTCAGGTGTGTCCGCTCCTTGCCAGGGATGAAACAGGATTAAATTTAAAATCAGCACTCTCCTTACAAATCCCTGGAGCCACCCACCTGCCTTGCAGTCTGCAGCTATGCCTGCTCTAGTTCCTGTTTGGGGACTAACACCAGTCATGTCCAGGAAGTAGTGACAGGGATGAATAACTGTGACCTTCTGGCTCTGACCCCACAAACTGCTTCAGCCAGGAGAGGCTGAGAGCTGCTCCAGCTCCACACAGCTTTGCTTCAGTCGCATGCACACTGCAGAGCTCACATCGATGAAGTCGGCCGCTCCCTCCAGAAGCTTCCAAACATCCCTGCAAACTGTCAGGAATAAATGCAGCAGGCAACAGCAAAATCCAGTCTAATGCCCTGGCAAAACACAAACAATTATCATCTGAACAATGTGTGCTCTCAGAGCATGGAGAACCAGGAAAAAATAAAAAAAAAAATAAAAAGAAAAAAGAAAAAGGAAGCAAATCAAGTGAGGCAGCCAGTTTTTCAAGGGAGAGTAAAAGCTCTCATTAATAACGCAGGACACAGTGCAGGCACAAAGTGTCCTGAGGATTTCAAGCCTAGAAGTTACAGACACCTACAATTTAATTGTCCTTCTACCCAGAAAACAAAGCAAAAAGGTTGATGAGAGGTGTCAGCCAAACACAGCTTGATTTGATGATCACAGACTGGTTTGGGTTGGAAAGGACCTCAAAGCCCATCCAGTCCCAAGCTCGTGTTGAGCTTCTCATCCACCACCACTCCCAGGTCCGTCTCCTCAGGGCTGCTCTCAGTCCATTCTCCACCCAGCCTGTATTTCTGCTTGGGATTGCCCAGGTGCAGGACCTTGCACTTGGCCTTGTTACACTTGATGAGTTTCACACAGGCTCACCTCTCAAGC